TATTTATTAGAATTGATTTCTTTTCTTTCTTTTTCTTTCTTTTTTTTTTTGTATTATTTTATTTATTTATTACAATAAAAATGAGAATAAAAGAAAATAAGGGGGGAGAAATTGGGTATTAACAAGGTTGATTACTACTTTTCCTAATCTCTAAAGCCTTTTGATTCATTCCAGCCTTTGTACTTGTAACTTTACCCGTAACATTAATATTACCATGCCTATCAACTCTCTTTTGCACTAGAACCCGGATATCATTCACCTTATCAATCATGCCAAACTGATTCCCCCTATTTTCATGCATTCTATCCTTTTAATTCATAATGTCATTCGGAGCTCCGTCTTGTTTTCTTTCTATAGATATCACTCATGCGTTCAATCGACCTATAGTTTGTGTAGTATGCCATAGTCTTTTCATAATCTATCTTTTACTAGAACCCATGCTCCTTCGAGCTACCCACCTAAATTCTTTTTGATAAAGGACTTGAAACATCAACTTTCAAAAATATTCTTATAAACATCAAAGTGATAGTTCCAAAGTTCTTTCATCTATATGTAGAAACCGCCCCTTTCTTCTCCTATACGCTTTAGATTTAAAGGAGTAAAAACAGTAAAGGGAGATGATGCGAACAAACCCAAATCGAGACCAAAGGACTATCTATGTGAAACTAAAAGTTAAAATTTTATTTAAATGTTCAATACATACAATTCTGAATCTTATGGTCTTCACGAGATAAAGCATGTATCAAATCAATTTCTATCTCCGGATGAACTATCACATGGTATGGATCTAAAAAGCTTATGATTGGTTCTCCCATCGATTATGTTGACATTAAATATGTAATTGAATAGTGTTGATAGTTGGTCTTCTTTTAGAAAATTTTAGAATCAATGTATTTTGAAATAATTACGTTGTTGTTTCAAGTTCTATAGAAGAGAATATGCATGCTAGTTTTGAATCTATGATGACATGTTGTCTTGGAATAAGGGGGATATCTCTAACTAATGTGGTTCACGTGCTTTAGATTTTGCTATTGGAATGAGTTAGGGCATTGGCATAGGAAATGAGAGGTACTCGGATCTTGGATTTGTTTTCCATGTTCAAATGCTAACTTATTTTATGGGAAATGAAGTTTAATTATATTGCCAATCCTATCTACTAGAATGTTCATTTAACCCACCATTGTAGTTTGATTCCCGACAGAGGAAGTCGATGAAGGAGATGGAAACTTTCATGTTGATCCCATGAGTCCCCTTGCTCGTTGGTGGTCTTTCCACCATTGTCGTGACTAGAGTTGGTTAGTTTAGGGTTTTATCATCGACTTAAAGAGAAAAGATATGATTTTTTAGGCCACTAACGGCCTCGTCAACCTAAATGGGAAACCATTTGGAGTGAATTTTACTCGTTTATTGATTTAAAACCATAATTGGTTCATTTTTCTTTTGATTTGAATAATTTTTTAATTGACCTTAGAACCATTGTTGATTCATTTCAAAAAGTTGCCAAATTTTGATTTCAAAACATTTGATGGCCTATTTTCTTTTGTTTCAAATAATTTCTTCCTAATAGTTTTACAACTTATGCAAATTCAATTTTGTTCGTTTCAAAGAAACATTCTAAATGATTTTTTTTTTAAAAAAAAAGTCATTATCAAACTAATTATTTCATTTGTGAAGAGAATTTTCAAATGTTTTTCAATTTGTTGATGAATTCTTCTTACTTGTTTTTCTAGCAGAGTTTGATATGTTTTATGGTCTTTGTTGCATAATCCTATTTGTTTCAAACAAAATTTTCAAATATTTTCTTATTCATTAAGAAATTGTTTTACTTCTTTTAAAATAGAGTTTTGATATATTTTTAAAATTTGTTGATGGACTAATCATTTTCATTTGTTAATAGAGTTTTCGAATATTTTTCAATTTGTTGAAGAATTCTTCCTATTTGGTTTTACACAAAGTTTTGATATGTTTGTATGGTCATTGTTAGTCCAATCCTATTTGTTCCAAACATAATTTTTAATTATTTTCTAATTAGTTGCCTAATTGCTTTTTTTCTTCAAATAGTACTTGTATGTTTTTTTTTTTAATTTTGTTTATGGCCTAATCCTATTTGTTCAAACAAAAGTTTCATAGGTTTTCTAGTTCATTGCTAAATTGTTCATTTTTGTTTCAAGTAGAGTTTTGAACTATTTTAAAGTCATTTTTGGCCTAATTCTATTTGTTTCTAAAGAGGATTTCAATCATTACCGAATTGTTTTTGTTTGCTTTCAAGAAGAGTTCTAAACTATTTCAAAATGATCACTAGCTTAATGTTGTGTGTTTCAAATAGAGTTGTCAAAATGGTTCTAATTTGTTGCTGAATTATTTTTGCTTCTTTTCAAGCTAAGCTCGATATGTTTTTAAAAGATATTGATGGCTAATCTTTAGTTTGCAAATAGGGTTTTTAAATATTTTTCAATTTTTTTTAATCCCTTCGTTTTTTTTCTAGCCAAGTTCTTATATTTTTTAAATTTTGTTGCTAGCCTAACCGTGTATACTTCAAAGAGAGTTTTCTAATATTTTCTAATTTGTTACTAAATTGTTTTTTCTCAATTTAAAATATTTTTTAATTCATTTTTGAATTCATCCTACTTATTTTTTAAAAAAAAAATTTGATGTCTTTAAAGTCGTAGTCGGCCTAATTTTTTTGGTTTATGAATAGAATTTTCAAATGATTTTCTAATTAATTGACAAATTTTTTCGTCTTAGTCATAGTTTTAATAAATTCTTAAAATTCCTTTAAGGTTTAATTCTGTTTGTTTCCAAAAATTTGTTAAATATTTTCTTATTTGTTTTCGAAGTGTTCTTGTTTGTGTTCAAGCAAAGTTATAAACATATTTCTTTTTATAGTCATTGTTGACATGATCTTGTTTGTTTTTGGATAAAGTTTTCAAAATTAATCCTATCTTATTTCAAGGTGTCTTCCAAAGTCATTCTCATTCATTGTGGATGCGTTCTAATTTGAAAATTTCATGGTTTATTTCAAAATTGTCTTTTTATCAACCTGATTTATTTTAAATATAAATATTTTTTAAAATACAAATTTTTTTTCCTGGTCATTTGTATGTTGCACGTATATGTGTGGCCAATGATAATGTTGTGCGTGTTATATCTGATTTGGCATTTAAGTGTGCATTAAAGGGGCAGAAACTCGATAATAAAACTGACCTATATGTTCGATAATTGAAGCCTTCCTTGCGTGTATATTAGATGCTTGTATGATTACTTTTTGTGCTTGTGCTATCGAGTCCTGATGCCATCATTTTCTAAGAGATGAGTTTTCATTCATTTGTTTAAAATCGTTGTTAGTTTGTTTTTCTTTTGATTTGAATAATTTCTTAAGTTGAGCTTAGAACCATTGTCAGATCATTTTCTAAAAACATTTGGTTGTTCATTTTCTTTTGTTTTGGATAATTTCATCCAAATCATTTTTATAACTTTCCTAAATGACTTTTTATTGTAAAAGTCATTGTCAATCTAATTTTATTCCTTTGCAAATAAAGTCTTCAAATGATTTATTTGTGTTGATGAATTCTTCCTTCTAGTTGTCAAGCTGATATGCTTTTATGGTCATCGTTAGTCTAATCCTGCTTATTTCAAACATAGTTTTTAAATTTTTATTCATTAGTGGTCGAATTGCTTTTGCTTGTTTTTATTTCCACCTTAACACTAAAATCATAGCGTTGCGATTGTCTCCTCTCTAAGTGCTCTAGCTGCATGGATCCTGTCAAATTAAAAGATTCGACTTGTAATGAATGGAAGGGATTCCCGTCTTGGACCTTCTCGTCACCCTCTGACTCTCGGCCATCTGCGTCTCACTCCCTCCTCAAATACTCTTAACTCTTGAATTCTTTGTAACAAATGCACATTCTCTCGTTACAAATCAGATATGTTCATTCAGTTTGATTGCTTTTTTGAATGCATCATCACTCGTTACAAATCAAACATGTTCATTCAGTTTGATTGCTTTTTTGAATGCATCATCACAAAACTTATCATAAGCACACATGGCATCAAACTACGATTTGATACCAAGTTGACAACGATTTTATGATGATTGGGTCAAAGTCAAAACCAATCAACCCTTGTTTGATAAAGTCTTAAACTCAACACAACAAATTCAAAGAAGCTGAAATAACTAACCCTAAAAACAGGTGTTAGTTGAAACTTATAACATTTTAACGAGATTTAGAATCTCCTAGTAAACTTAACTAATAATAATAATCAACAGCACCATCTTGAAAGATCAATTCAAAGATCTAAAAACATGAAATCCTAAACAAGCACAAGGATTATGCAAATTTGGTTGAAAACTCTCACAAAACTTATTCAATAATAAAAAAAAAAAAATTGTCTCTCCATATTACATAAGAATCTTTAAATAATAAAGCATAAAGTCGGCCAACTAGGGTTTAATCCGTAAGTCATGCAGACAACAATAAACCTAGGCCATTTGGCAACAACAAACTAGCCTAATCCAAATTCAACAAGGACTAATTAACATAGTACAAGTCCAAAAGAGATATGGATTAAAATAAATCCCAAATATAATAGGAATCATTAAGACACCAGGATAAAATAAAATACCTAAAAATAAAACTTAAATAAGACAATAATTCGGCGCAACTAAGCTTGAACATTCAGCCTAAAAGGAATGGACTACACTACCGTCCAGTGTTATGGTGCCTCGTAAAATTGATTTACTTAGAAAGCCGACAGAATGATGGGGAGCATCATCTAAATGTATAAAAAACAGAGCAATTCATGTTCAGTACATTCCCAATCACATGATGAGAAAAATATTGAAATGTCTTGAGGCAAGAGGTTAAAATTAAACTGTATAGCCTGAAGACTAAACCCTTGACTCTTGCCACTTAAAGCAATAGTGATTGGGTTCTTATTTTCATCAGCGAATTTACCAACATCCAGACACAGTTCATGACAATTACTTTTCCGAGCGTCATTTATAATGGCCCGGAGAAACTCCTTGAAAGTGGTGGCAGCTTCATGCGTTTTGTTCTTAATATAGCCAAGAGAAACTGCAAAACATATAGATATCATATTCCTTAGAAACCTTAAACATGGAAGATCTAACCAAATGATTTTCTTTAAAAATAATAATAAATAAATAAATAAAATGCAACTTAATTACCCTCACAACCCTTTTCAGGAAGTCATTCTCCTTCTTAAGTTCTGTATTTTCCAGCTGTTGTTGGGCTTCCAAAGCCTAAAAACAGAGATGGTAAATAGGAATACGATAACGAAGAGCAAATTGCTTAAAGACCCGTATGGGATAACTTACTTGTTTTCTTGCTCTAGACCTGGCAGCTGATTCTCGATTTTTTATCATCCTCTGGTGGATTTTATCAGAAATTGATGTATTTCCAGAAGTTTTACTAGCTCTGGAATGAGCATCCCTTTTACTATTATTTTCACAGCTCAAACCACTAGCAGATTGTTGATAGAGGCATGCCCTGTTGGGATCATTCACATAACTGGCACTACCCCTACCAGCTCTTGCATTAGCACTGTTTTTGTTGGCATTTTCATTGCTAACTCCTTGTACAAGTTGACAAGGTGTATTGCAGAAACCAGACACAGTAGCAATTGCAGGTCGCTGCTTCCTAATATAATCACCACCAAAGCTAGCACAACTCATCCTTCCGGTTGGATGATCAACCACTTTCATTTTGAGCGGGTTTGAACTAGACCCAGTTCCTATAGTCAATGCTGCTCCATCGAGGCATCTCTTCCTCTTAACTTTCATTGGACTTGCACCGTTTATTGTGTATGGAAAGCTTGAGCTCTGCACCTTGTTTGCAACTTGAGATGGAATATGGCTTTGCTGGGCCCCCTGGATACCTGTGCTTAAAGACAAAGCAGTAAAATGAGAAGCCTTCAATTCATCATCTTGAGATGGAGGTAGAGGGAACATGGTTTGTGTGAACTGAAGGTGCTATAGAAAGTTTGTCAGGTTAAGCTCCGGCTTTGTTCCTGGCATAACAAGAGCAAGACAAAAAAAAAAAAAATCACTAGAAAGATTACACTGAAACTCATTTTTAATGCTACAAAGCACTTTTCCGCTGGTAGAAAATGCAACACCAAGAAAGTAGATGAAAACCTCTAACATGTTTAATAAGAATCTCTAACAATTAATGACGCATATCAATGACGACTTTGTTCAAGAGATGAGAATAGTTCTTAGGCAACTATATATTGTATCAAATGAAGCTCAAATATAATATTGTTTTTAGATATCAGATTAAGAGGGGTTGGAGGATACCTTAATTATGTGTTGTAAAGTTGAATGCTGCAACACTATCAAAGGTGTTTCAAGACAAAAACTGGCACTCTCAAAAACCAGAATCAGCACTGTAGAAGTGCTCTTCTGAGGAGTCACATCAATACAGAGAGAAAACAAATTAATTGACATATGGAAACAGAAGATGAAGACACTTCTCAACGTGTAAGCTAATTTGGTGAGCTTGCAGTGGGAAGAGAGAAACACTGCCTGGTGGCAAAGATGCTTTTTTCAAAATCAACATGCAAGAGACCTGCTCGAAAAAGGAACCAACAACCAAATTCATGTAGTATAAGAGAACAAAACGAAACGGGTGAAACCGATGCCTTTCAGTGGCACAAATTGACAATTTGATTTGTTCCATTTGTCATTGTTTCTCACTGAAATCTGCTCAAAAAAGGACTTGTCCATTCTTTAGCAATTCCTCAACCATATATCTTTGATGTTAAAGGAGTTGATATATAGTTTATACTTTATACGTGTTCGAGTAATACTAATTTTACAGAAAAATCACATCCATTGAATTGGTCACGTAAAGCTAAGTAATACTTTTCGGAATAGTTATTAAGCTATCAAATAAAAAATAAAAAAATTACAGAACAATTATATATATAATTAAATAGGTAATTGACAACGCAATCAATCAATTAAAAATAAGAATAGAGAGCACAAGAATTTTTAAGGTTGTGAAGCCTCAGGATAGGAAAACATCCGCAACCAAATTAATAGCAAAATAAGCCACTGATTTCGACAAAAGATTACAAACTTGTATACTGGATCAAGACAACTTACTCTTTGTACTTTCTTCTCTTTTGTATTTTCTCTCTTTTTTTCTCTATATTTCCCTTATATATATATATAATTGTGTTTTTTTTTTTAACTATTAAAAAAAATGTGAAAAAATAAGCTACAATTAAGCAGGTGGTGTGTTGGCAAATGGTAGTGGAAGTGGAACTCCACATGCCAAGACTAAAAGATAAACTTATGGATCAAACGTCGTTTGTGTTTGCCACCATCATCATTGAGTTTGTGATGATATCCTTTATAGCGTCAGGTGGTTCATAAATCCAAAAGACCATCAGAAGTTGAACGAATGGTCGGCAATAGCTATTTTATCCTCTAAAGGCATTTTAGTAATTTTATATGCAATGGCATTTTGGTCATTTCATAACTGACTAGTGACATTTCAATCATCATAAGAAGCCTCACTGACATCGATAAATAATTGTTTTCTCCTTCTCGATTGACTAAAATAATCTGTTTTTATTAAGATTGAAGAAGAAAGTCTTATCATTCTCACGATGCTTGGATAAATTTTGAATCTAGTTAGACTTTTTTAAATTGTAAATTAATGTGAAATGATGTTTCATTGATGATTATGCTATTAAATATTCTACTTGAATATGCTTAAGATTTCTTCCCATTGCTTGTGCACTCGAAACAAAGTTACTAACTCGCTTCCTACTTATGTGATCAAAGCTACTTGTAACTTCTAATCAATTTTTACGTGCATATATGTTTGTTAAAACAAAGCTACTCGGTAGCTTCTCACTTATGTGGATGGAGTTTCTTGTGACTTTAGCACTAGTTTATTCAATTTTTTTAATTGTTGAAACGAAATTATTGGTGGCTTTCCACTTGTGTGATGAAGCCACCAATTATTTTATTTATTATTTTTTTATCCGAAACAAAGTCATTGAGGTCTTCTCACTTATGTGAAGAAGTTTTGATGGTTTCCAAAATAGTTACTTGCTTCTTGTTTGAGTGAAATAAAGTTATCGGTAGCTTCCTACTTATGTGATGAAGTTATCGGTAGCTTCCTACTTATGTGATAAAGTTATCGGTAACTTCTTAAATCCATGACTCGAACTCATTAGTGGCTTCCCACTTGTATGAGTGAAGTCGTTGATGACTCATTTCTCATGTTAATAAAAGACTATCAATCTTTAGAAACTCTAATACTTGTCGATATAGGTCGTGTTCACTAAAGATTAACCAAAATTTTAACTTTTCTCATCTTTCCTCTTTGAGTATGGATATTCGCCTTAGACCGGACCTAAAACTTGAATTGCTATACTATTCAATTCTAATAAAATAAATTCACTCAAATAGGCAAAGAAACGTAACATAGTAAAATCGGATTTTTTTATTTTCACGTACAAACAATGCAGACTCTACCTCGGGTACGATAAGATGGTGGTGATGTTATATCTTCTCTATATGCAACCGATCGTTTACCAATATATCTATAGAGACAATATGCTTTGGGTTTTCTAGTTCTCTCCGATTAGCTAGGTTGTGACTCCTTGTTCTTGCGCATCCCCCGTGGACCCACATCAATATGGCGACTTTACTAAGGACGTACCATGCTAGAGTCAAGCTTTGAATGTTTGTATTCATAAATCTCTAATTATTTATTATGCCTATATGTTTTAAGTGAATAATTTTTATTTAATTGATTGTCTATTTTTGTAGTGAAAATGGGTTTGTATATATGTTTGTTGTTTGTGTTGCTTTTCTTTGTAGCTTAGTTATTTAATTCTTAGCCTTTATTATGAAATTATGCTTTACACATTTCATTGTATAATTATAATTGTCATATGCATTTGTTTTGGGATCTAGGAAGTTAGTAGTGGTGCCTCGATGGGTTTCACTTCAACTAAACACTAACAAAACCTTAAGCCTTTTGGCTAGCTACCATTGGTGATGGGTAATCGATGATTTTTACAATTGCTAATATTGTTGTGGATAGTTCTAGTGAACCTACTAAACGTCCATTAGGCTAGAAGGTACGTTTTTTAGACTTAAATAGAGCCTACCTACTCATGTAATGGCTAAAACTAGACCGTAGGATCATCTCTCTTTGGTTAAATACACTAGGCAAGTCAAACATTTTTAAAATCTTGACTAAAATAATTAAGGCATGATATTTCGGGATGGGTGACAAAAGAGCTCTAATATAATTTAAGCTAGCATCAATCTTCTAAACAAAATCCGAGGCTCTTCAACGAGTAGAGAGAGACTGCATTCGAGAGAGATTTTAGAGAAACCATCGGCTAATAATCGGACTCCATTACATAAATAATGATATAAAAAAACTTTTTGAATGTTTGCGAGCTTTTGATCGTTGAGGATAAATGAATGTTCAAGCACAAATATGGAAACTTAGCTACACCGATATAGATACTAGTCTAGAAATCTATATTAAAGGCTCTCATCTCTTTATGAGACACCTTATACCATTGTTTCACTATGGGAAGCCTAGACATGACTCCCACAATGAAAGAATACTATCGATTCATCGTGAATGTAGAATCCTCTATATCAAATCTACCTTTATTATCGATGTAATGAAGTAGATAAAAGGGTTAAAAACTGGTTGGATGTAAATTTGAGTCAAGTACAAGCTAAAAGTAACACCGAGGGATGTCATAATGAGGCATTAATGGATGTGTTCAAACAAATTTTGAGTGAACCATTATTAGTTCAAAGAAATTTTAGGCTTTAGCTTTGTGTTTCTTTAATTTGATTCTATTTTCATCTTTTATTAGATTAATCGATCTTGATGTTGCCAATGTTTTTATTGAAATAGAGAAGAACTCGGTTAATCTTACTACTGCTATTTCGGTAGAGACCATCCTATCACTAAACCATTACCGAAGATTTGGTAAAGATGGGATGAGATGTTATGTACAATTATTGTATAGGTAGATGATCGATCATATGGAAGTACGCAGATCAATCTTCAATTTCTCCGGTGGAAAGATCAAAAGCTTTGAAAAAGTTTGTAATAACACTCGTGGAAGAACCATACCGAGCAAGAATGGAGTGCCTTATTAACTCGACCTAATACCAATTCCTATGAAAAGTCATCTGGATGAATCAAATGTCATATTTAGCTTACTCGTGGAAGTTTTCTTTGCGTCTCTCTAGTTGGATCAATAGGATATGTGAGATATGCTCCTAGTATGGTATCAAGAAAATTGAGCTATGAACAATACATCCTAAAAATGATTGGCTTGGCTAGCTTTAAAGGGAATTTAAAAAAAAAAAAAAAAAGGTTTTACACGGGTTCCTAAATTACATAACAGAAGACTAGTTAACATATAGAATGTGGTTGGTAAGATAGATGGCCATGAGATAGCCATTACTAAACTTATCCATCGTGGCAAGCTATAAGGGTAAAAGACTTTAGTCTCCAAACAAACCAATGTAAAGATATATAAGTTCCAATATATAACCATCAAACTAGTCAAGAAACCTCAATCCCTATTGGAATAAAAAATCCTTTAGGACCATTTGAAACTGGGACTTGCCAATCTACATAAGGAAATAAGCTAATCCCTCTATAAGTTTTAAATGTATTATCTATCCAGATCTTAAGGAAAAAAAAAAAAAAGAAAGAAAACAGATGATCTTTTTAGAATTAACTCCATTGCATTATCATCATCTTAATATATATATTTACAACTCGGTCGAAGAGAAAAGGAAGGGAGACAAAAACAAAGGAAAGATGCTTGGATCTAGAATAGAACTTAGAAAGTTGGCAAAGCATAGCCTTCGAAGATGAATAATGAAAATCGCTTGACCTTCGAGTTCAAGCAAAATTAGACTCAAAGTGTATTGATTTTGAT